GTGGATTTAAAGTTAATATTGGCCCATTATCTTCACCCAGGTGATTTCTCTTCCATAGATACCAATTTCATTCTAACCCTTGCCAAACATCATGAAGTATAGGCATTTGATTGTAAGAAGATAGGAAAACTAGTATAGATAAATTTATCATAAATTTATCACCACTGCTAAAAGAAGCCAACAGAAAAAGGGATGCCCTATTAACTAGGGACCAGAGTCATAGTACCTTAGCATCTTTATGCAGGTGACAGAATATAGGAAAGTGATTAAGATCAAGTCTATATAATCTTTATAAACAATGATTTATATGATTTCTAGAAATAAAATATTTTGCCTAACACCAAATTTCTTCATATGGAAATCAACAGTGGTGTCTCAGTATTAGAATTCAGATTTGTCTAACAAAACATCTCATTAAAGTTTTATTTGAAAGCCTTTAGGTTTAGAAAAGGTTATTTTCCAAATAAAATGTTTAATTAGTGTGTAGTGTAGAAAACCAAAGTAGTTGCTCTTGGCCTCTTCTTGACTCAGATTTAGGGAAAAATTAGAATAAAGAATGCACCATTGAAAAATATCAATTAAAAGATATATACAGTAATAAAGACTATTTTCTCTTTAATTACCCCAAATCTTTTAAGCTTAAGCCTCTTTAGTAGAAATTCTCTCATCTAAAAGCCTTGAGAAGGTGCATGTCAGAAAATGAATGACTATTTTAAATGGGCAATCAAGTAGAGACAGGATTTTTCATGGATAATATGAATTTAAGAGAGAGGAAGAGGTCAAGGAATCTGATTTCAGGCAGGAAAGTTTAGCAAAGCAGACTTTTGAAGATTTCACAAAAAACTAGTCAGTGAGGATCAGATACACATAAGCAAATTCTTTGGGCTCCATAGGTTAAGATCAGCCATGGAAACAAACTCTTTCACCATTTTGTTGAGTGATCTGCAGTGCAAAAATGAAACTGGATTAAAAATATAAGTAAATTATTTATAATACAGAACATTATCCAGTTTTAGATTCTGAAGTATAACTTTTTACACATATTTAATGTAAAATAATTTTTAAAATTACAAATCAACACACATTCACTGTGGAAAAACCAAAACATAATAAAGGTAGATATAACTAATGTTAACATCTTGGAGGATTAGACATTTATCAGACATGTTTTCCTATAACTGTCCACATATTTTGTAATAAAACTAAACAGAATATACTGTTATAGGCTATTGCATAATTTGTCATGAACATCTTTCCATGGCATTGAGTAGATGTCTAGATATTCTTATTAATGCTTCCTGCAATTATCACAGACTTCTAGGTTCTGCCCATTTTTTCTTCTTTTATTAATAGCATGACCACGAAAGAAGGTGAAGATGGCGGCGGCCAGGGCTGGGGTCCTGGGAGTCCGGTGGCTGCAAAAGGCAGCCCGAGACATGGTGCCGATGGGTGCACGGACAGCCTCCCACATGACCAAGGACATGCTCCCGGGACCCTATCCCAAGACCCCAGAAGAACGGGCTGCTGCCGCCAAGAAGTATAATATGCGGGTGGAAGACTACGAGCCGTACCCGGATGATGGCATGGGGTATGGTGACTATCCGAAACTGCCTGACCGCTCACAGCAGGAGAGGGATCCATGGTATGACTGGGACCACCCAGACCTGCGGTTGAACTGGGGTGAACCGATGCACTGGGACCTGGACATGTATATCAGGAACCGTGTGGACACGTCCCCGACTCCTGTTACTTGGAACCTCATGTGTAAGCACCTCTTCGGGTTCGTCGCCTTCATGCTGTTCATGTTTTGGGTAGGGGAGACTTACCCCGCCTACCAGCCTGTGGGGCCAAAGCAGTATCCTTACAATAATCTGTATCTGGAACGAGGCGGTGATTCTAACAAAGAACCTGAGCCAGTGGTTCACTATGAGATCTGAGGAGGCTTCATGAGCTTTGTGTTCCCTAACTGACTCCTTCAACTGGAGAAATTTAACTTTAATGAAACCCCTAATAAAACTTAGTGCTGTGGTAAAAAAAAAAAAAAATAGCATGACCACGAATAGGCTGGCACCAAAAACTTTATTCATAGCCATGATTATTTTCTTAGGATGAATCTCCGGGAGTAAAATATCCTAGTCAAATGATCTATGTCAATTTTTTTGCCATCAGAGTCAAATTGCCCTGCAGAAAGGCTAACATGCATCAGAAACAAATCAGTATGGATAATTCTCCACAAACTAAAAATACTTTTAAAAACTTGACCAACGTAATATGAGGAAATGAATCTCACTGTAATTTTTATTTGCATTTGTTTGGAGTCAAACATGAAAGTCATTTTAGATGGCTCCAAGAATATCTTGGGTTAGTGAACAAATACTTTACTGGAAGTAGATAACACCTACTGAATCTTCAATCCTAAAATTCTTAATTTTCCATGGGTTATCAAAACATTTAATATTTAAGTTTTAAGTTTTCATTAATCAGCTATGTGTCTTGCTTTTGCTGAAATCCCTAAAGGTTTGCTATTTTGAATGAAATAACTAGATAATGGAAGGAACTCTTTATTTTTCCATGTAGAGGTTTTGATGTGGTTTGGATTTAGCCAAAGTTGCCTTTCAAAAATCTTAAAGTATTTTTTTGGTATTGAAGTCATATTTTTTCCATATTCAAAATTTCCATGCATTTCAAAAATTATGGTGCTGGAATCACAGAACTTTATTGGCATTAGTCACATCTAAATATTTTAAAACATCTTGCTGTTTGGCATCATGTAGATCCTTTTCCCTTTCTCAGTATCCCCGACTCCCCCAAAAGAGAAACATAACAGATTTCACACAGTTACATATGGCAACTATCTGGAGCAAACTGAACTGAGGTGCTAACATTGGCCAGCATAATCCACAAGAGGAATCAACACCTAAACCAGAGAGAAAAACTCTCGAAGCTTCATCTACATACCACCACTCCCTCTAATCCTCTACAAAAAATATTCCTCAGATTGTTTGATATGCAATCTATTTTGTACTCAACAATATGCCAATGTTTGCAAAGGGGAGAAAGCATGGAATTTAAGCCTTTGCTTCAAGTTCCATTCTTCAGAAGACAAACTCATAGGAAAAATAAATAGACTGATAAACCAATCAAATCAATTAACCAGAGCTATTACCATTTTCTACTTTGCCTGAAGTTACTGAACACTTTCAGCTAGGAAGGGGTGCAAGTCAAAGTAACTAATGGTTCTTTGTTGTTGTTTGGTCACTAAGTTGTGTCCGACTCTCTTTTTGACCCCCATAGACTGTAGCCTGCCAGGCTCCTCTGTTCATGGGATTTCCTAGGCAAGAATACTCGAATGGGTTACCATTTTCTCCTCCAGGGGATCTTCCCAGCCCAGGGATCGAACCCTTGTACCCCACGTTGACAGGTAGGTTTCTTATCACTGAGACATCAGGGAAGTCCCTAATGGTTGTTACAAATCTATAGAAGTAAAGAAAATGTTCTTTTTAAAAATCACAGAATCAATACTGATCCCAGCTGACAAGTGGTCAAACACAATAGATTCAGGTGAAAAATAAAAGGTGACAATTAAAGGCCATTCACTGATTTATTACTGGGTTTCACAATAATTCAAGATTAGCTGTCCATAAAGTATTATGAAGAGGAAACTGTGGGGTGGGGGGGGAAAGAAAGGAATACCTTCCCCAGAGAGCAGTAGGAGCCTCAGTGAGCTTATCTGCAAAATGGGGGTATTAGAATAGATGACCCTCCTGTTAGGAACTCTGGTGGACCCAAAACATCTATTCCTTTATGACAATGGAAGTGTTGAAGGATCTAGAGTTGAAAGGAAAAACAAGAGAACAGACCTGTGGAAAAGGCAGCTTAAATAATCATGCCTATACTACAGCAGAGAATTAGAGAGAACCGAAGTAGTGTCTCAATTCAAAGTAACTACTTTTTATTTTTATTTATTTATTTTTTATTTTATTTTTTTGTCATTTATTTTTATTAGTTGGAGGCTAATTACTTTACATCATTGCAGTGGTTTTTGTCATACATTGAAATCAAAGTAACTACTTTTTAATAAAGTGTTTTCTGGATCACATTCTTTATGAAAATAGCCACTTAAGCAGCTTTAGAATAAAAAGACCTAAAATGTGATTTTAATTACAATGATTTTCATAAGTAGACACATTTTACCCACTAACAAGCAGAAGAATTTATTAACTTACCATTTGTCCTCTAGCGTAAATTCTCCAACTGAAGAAAAGAAACTAAGCTTACATTTTATCCTCCCTTTCTTTTCCAAATTACAGGTCATTTATGTAATACTGAAACATAAAAAAAGCTGCTAATATGCTAAGAAATAAAAGGACTGCTTCTTCATAAAAATACAGTGTAGTTTTCTTTTTCCATGTGAAGGTATTTAAAAAACCAAGAGCTTCCAATATTTTACAAACATTCTTTTATGACACTTTGAGTCTGTGAACTTGTACCAGAAATATATAGTGTTATCATTAGTGAATAACACTCAATATGCCATTTTTTTCAAAGGCACAATGTCAAAAGTACTTACAGACTTTAAAAATTGTTTTAAAGTATAAACAATGTCACAGGTGGTTGCTATATATCAATACTATGGGGAAAAGAGTGTTTTGAGTATTATGTTAAATTTTAGTGTCAGTGAGCACAGAAAAAAGCAATGCTGCTATTTGAGGTCATTATATTTCCAACAGTCTGAAGACACTGAGACTTATTAAAATAATGATCTGAGGCACTTTGCCTAGCTTTTTCTTTGGGGAATCTTCAATTTCTGTGACATATTTAAATAAATGGGAGTTAACTCTTTATTTGCTTTGGAGATCAGATGAGAAATCACTCTTGAAAATTGTAAAAAAGAAAAATGTAGCCGACTACATACTATATTGCCTTATTTCTACCTGCCATCAGGTGCTGGAAATATTAAAGGGTGATTTTCTCCAGCCTTTCTAGTTAACAGGACTCACCTGCCCTGCAGCTTGCCAGGTGAAATTCATGGAATGGATATTGACAGGAATAGCTGGCATTCTCTGCTGTGCTCTTCTGAAGTCATGTGTAAAGGGGGCCATTTTCCCCTCTGAAACAATCAAGATATCTTCTTCAAGTCCTGGTTTAAAACACACACACACACACAAAATAAAGCTATCAAACTAGCTGAACTTAGAAGAATCCAAATCAGAACTTGCGTGCCAAAAGAACACCGAAGAATTAGTAATGGGTCGTTTCTTTTTACAAAGCACCTGCCCTCAAGTACCAATTAATATTCCTGTGGATGATAAGAATGATAGCAAAGACGTGTGCTTTCAGTGAAATGGAGTGAACTGTGGAGCAAACCGATGCCAACAAATGCTCGGTCCACTGAAGCTGGATTGTAGAAACCAACAACAGCATGATCAGAACATTAGAACAGCTTAAATTTATGGAGAGAAGAGTTTAAACTCTTAGATGGAAAAGCGATAGTCCATAGAATCGCAGAGTCCGACACGACCGAAGAGACTTAGCAAGCACGTAGCTAGCTAAAAAGGGGACAATCTTCCTTGGAAATTAAGTTTTAAAAACATTCTAAATGCATGTATCTCTCCTTTAAGAGAAGAGCTGGAGGGAGTGAAGACCCAGGCATTTGGGAACACGCTCCCGCGAAACCATACCTATGAGCACTCTCGCCTGGTGAGCGTCGATCCACAGGTACAGGCTCTCCGGCTGCGGCCCGACCTCCGCTCGCAGCACCAGCAGGCACCGGAGGATGCTCCAGAGCCAGAGCGCGCCGGCAGGGAAGGCGCTTTTCCGGGCCATGCTACTCCGGACCTCCGGGATCGTGGTTCTCGCAGCTGAAACTCCTCCGCACCTACCCAACCTGCCGCCCCTAAGTTGTCTCCCAGCCCGGGCAGTTCCCCGCGTAGACGGCTGGGCGTGTAGCCTCTTGGCTCTGGGACGCGTGAGCCTGGGTGAGCCGGCGGAGGAGTAGCACGAGGGAGAACTGGAGAGAGCGGGACAAGGGAAGGGGGCGTAGGTGGGAGAGGAGGGCGCGGAGGCGCAAGACTGGCAAAGCAGGAGATGCCAGCCCGCCGAAGGAGACACAACGGTCAGAGGGTTAAATATAGCGGGAGAGTTAGAGCGGGAAGGGCAGGCGCAAGTGAGGTGCCAGCAATGCGTGACGGTGCCCAGTCGGCCGCCACTGGAGGGCGCTGGGGGGACGCGCGGGGTGGGGCGGCGCGCAGCCCCGGAGGCCGAGTCCCCCCGCCGTGCGCCGCGTGGGAGCAGACGCGGAAAAGGGCGCTCCAAGGGACCCCAGGGACGTCACTTGCCTCTGCCTCTGGCCAGACGAGGCATGAACGGAGGGAAATGCGGTGAGCTGACTTATTACGGCTTTACTGAACCCAGATGATGATGATGATGATGAATGATGTTAACTTCCACTGGTACCCCGGTGTTAAATAAAGGCTCAGATTCCTCCACTTTTCCCACTGTCCCACTTCTCCCATATTCCGCCACTGTCATTCTTCACATCTGCAAACACGTGGCGCATTCCCATCCATCTAAAACCTGAGAGTCCAGCTGTCTAGAGGTGCCTGGTTGCTGGCGCTGGGGCTGGCCGGGGCATGGGGCTTTCCCTCCTCGCGTGTCTGACGCCGCGGGGAATGCTTTTCACAGCTGCGGAGGCTCTCCTCCCTGCTCACCGGCAGCACCCTGAGCTCTGACCTGCTGCGGTCGGGCTTCCAAAAGTCATGACCATCTTCATAGTTGGGGGTATATCGAGAAATTTGGAGGCGCGCCGCGCTGGTACTGAAATCGCAGGCGCTTTAGAGCAAGCCAAGGCTCTGGCCTTGCATAGGGGAAGAGTAGTTAGCTGGCAACGGGCTCTGGCCAGCCGCACCCATTAAACCCCAGGAGAGATTTGATTTGCCCCCTGCCAAATCCCTTGGATGTGATGAAAACGGAAGCAAAAGGGGGTTTCTTGTTTTATCTTAGATTTCAGACTCAGAAAAAGGTTGTTTACTTCTGTTTTTTTGGCATCCAAATGCTGCGACAGAAGTCCCAAGGATTGAGCCTGTGGGGTTTGGCGTTTGGGCTCAATGGTAAAGAATCCGCCTGTCAATGCAGGAGAGGCAGGAGAGGTGGGTTCCAATCCTGGGTCAGGAAGATCCTCTGGAGAAGGAAATGGCAACCCACTCCAGTATTCTTGCCTGGGAAATCCCAGGGACAGAGGAGCCGGGCGGTCAACAGTCCAGGGGGTCACAAAGAATCGGACATTACTGAGCACACACGTACAATGTGGGAGAGCAAACCTGAAGTGGAACAGGTGCATGCATTAAGTATTGGGTCATGAGTTCCTAAAGAATATGCATTTCTAATTATGAAATATTTTCAGTTGTACAACTGTTGATCTTCGAAAAGAACATCAAAGAACTGCTGAAAGTTTTACTTTTAGGTTTGAAGGATTTGTTAACAAAAGAAACCACTGGTCACACACAATAAACAATTTCAATATTTAATCGAGGATTGACTTCATTTCAATTATACAATTGTTGAAAGAAAAGACAAAGGTCCGTCTAGTCAAAGCTATGGTTTCCCCAGTGGTCATGTATGGATGTGAGAGTTGGACCATAAAGAAAGCTGAGCACTGAAGAATTGATGCTTTTGAACTGTGGTGGTGGAGAAGACTCTTGAGAGTCCCTTGGACTGCAAGGAGATCAAACTAGTCAACTCTAAAGGAAATCAGTCCTGAATATTCACTGAAAGGACTGATGCTGAAGTTGAAACTCCAATACTTCAGCCACCTGATGCAAAGAACTGACTCTTTGGAAAAGACCCTGATGCTGGGAAAAATCGAAGGCAGGAGAAGGGGAGACAGAGGATAAGATGGTTGGATGGTATCACCGACTCAATGGACATGAGTTTGAGCAAGCTCTAGGAGTTGGTACTGGACAGGGAAGCCTGGTGTGCTGCAGTCCATAGGGTAGCAAAGATTTGGACATGGCTGAGCAACTGAACTGAAAAGAAAATAATAAAGAAAAGTAAAAGCACATACTTCACCAAATTGTGCCAACCAACATCCAGGCTTGAACAGCCCTAGGAAGTCCCTCATTAATAGCAATCTGGAGTCCCATTTGGGAAAAGGTCCTGGGCAATGTGCCTACCCCATGGGTGAGACTTCAAATTACAGTTTCCAGGGCTCCCATTTATAATCCTGGGCTACAAACACATCATCAATTTGCACACAAAAGTGCAGCCCTGGTTCTTTTTTAAACTTCTACAATGCTGTTTGTTTTATCTTGTGAGTCATAGGATTTTGTTAGATCTGGGGTTGGGATGTGGGGATGCTGGCCAGACCCTCAGGAGCTCAAGAATTCCAGACCACCTCCTGCTTTTATCTATAGTGCCTCCTGACCTGTGTTTGCAGGCAGGCACAGAATCCAGGCAGTGTCCAGGCCAGTCAGAACCTGCTCTTCTGCCTCTGAAGCCAGAACAAGACTTCCTCCATTTTAATTTCCCTAACAACAAGAAATCTCCAATGGATTTGAACTTCTTAATTGTAAAAGTACTTTAAGAGCTTACTTAATTCTCACAACACTTTTAAATAGGTAGGTGCTATTATTATTCCCATGTTACTGATGAAGAAACAAGGCTTAAAAAGGTCCAGTAAGTTAGCTGACTGTGGTTACCCAGTGGTAACTATGGTTACTTACCTGGTCAGTGGCAGAGTCAGGGTTCAAATCCCAGTCACTCTGATTTCAAAGCCTATTCTCTTAACCACTATACCTCACGCTGACAAGTAAATCATGATTAAGTCTGTTTGCAACCAAAGCTTCACAGCCATTCTAGCTTTACAATAAAATTCTCATCTATTCAAAGATTTCACTATTTTTTATATCAGTGAATATTCATTTATGTAATGCAGTCATATACATTTAGCAATATTTAAAGCACTTTAGCATTGTAATGCCAATTTTTAATTGTCCCCCAGTCAAAGATAATAATTTCACAACACAGTGGACATTCTCTTTACTCCAGAAAGTGCAGGTTTAGTTGAAAATATTTTTTTCCCTCAATAGTGGTCTAACCCCTACAGCTCTTGATCTAAGGACGCCCTCTACAGGCTGTTCTAATCAAATAGTAACTGAGAAATATCCTTCATAAAATTTACTTTTTGGTTAGAGAAAAAGAGGCACTAAATTCCCTCCTACCTCAACTTCTTCTGAGGGAGGTTCTTCTGCAACAGTTGAATCTGGTACTGGTGATACTGGTAATATATCGAGCTGTAAGGAATTTTTTTTCTCTGTTTACTTCTCCCCAGCAGTGGACACTTAGAGAAATTACATTTTATGACAGAGAAAAGTGTTATTTAAAGATATTGGATTTGCTTTCATTTGGTTTTTGAAGGGAAGGAAGGAACAGATGTTATATGACAGTCAGCTATTTTCAAGAGTAAGGGGGTATATTTTTGGGGAAGAAGGTCCATCTAAGATTGAATCAGGCTGGACTCTCTTCTGATGTTACAGAGCACAGAGGCTTTTTCACTCAGAAAAGTCATATTTTAAGATTTCTCTGCTCAAATAAAAATGTAACAATATTTATTGGCACAGGATAAAATTCTGGAAATGATGTGCTAGGAGGTATTACAAGTCAACTTCATTTAGTTTGAAAACTCTACCATTTATTTTCCAGTCCATTATCCTTGCTTTCCTTGTGTAACTCACTCTCATCAATTGCATTTGTGGGCAGCTTCATATATTTGTTCACTCATTTACGCATTCAACATATATTTATTAATATCTATTTTGTGTAAGAAACTGTCCTAGAAGCAACAGGAAAGACAAAGGCAATGAAAAATATCATGAAACTACATACTCTTATGTAGTAAACACAATCCCAGCCCTCAAAGACCATTGGGGCTATTAAAACAAGTAAGGTAAGGACCCAGTAACCATAATTCAAGGCAGAATATAGTGATTATTTGATGAGACATGATCGGAAATTCAAAGGAGAAATCTCATATCTGGGATTCTGAAAGATTTTTGGTTCCTTCATTCAGAAAACACTGTGTGTCTGATGTATGCACTGTAAAGGTACAGGGGATAGAAAGGCAAGTTAAAAGAGCCCGGGCTTTTGATCTCAGTCTAACAGGGGAGGTTGTTAATGAACAGTAGGGAAGAATGAGCACTGTGATGGGTTTGTGCACAGGGTAGTCTGGGACTTCAATAAAGCTTCTCTAATGCAGACTGGAACAACAGACTGGTTCCCAGTAGGAAAAGGAGTATGTCCAGGCTGTATATTGTCACCCTGCTTATTTAACTTATATGCAGAGTACATCATGAGAAATGCTCGGCTGGAAGAAGCACAAGCTGGAATCAAGATAGCCGGGAGAAATATCAATAACCTCAGATATGCAGATGACACCACCCTTATGGCAGAAAGTGAAAAGGAACTAAAAAGCCTCTTGATGAAAGTTAAAGAGGAGAGTGAAAAAGTTGGCTTAAAGCTCAACATTCAGAAAACTAAGATCATGGCATCTGGTCCCATCACCTCATGGGAAGCAGATGGGGAGACAGTGGAAACAGTGTCAGACTTTATTTTTGGGGCTCCAAAATCACTGCAAGTGGTGATTGCAGCCATGAAATTAAAAGACGCTTACTCCTTGGAAGGAAAGTTATGACCAACCTAGATAGCATATTAAAAAGCAGAGACATTACTTTGCCAACAAAGGTCCGTCTAGTCAAGGCTATGGTTTTTCCAGTGGTCATGTATGGATGTGAGAGTTGGACTGTGAAGAAAGCTGAACGCCAAAAAATTGA